GGCTGTACACAAGCACAACACACCCACACACAGGCTCTACTCAAGCACAACACACACACACACAGGCTCTACACAAGCACAACACACACACACACACACACTCACACACAGGCTCTACACAAGCACAACACACACACACACAGGCTCTACACAAGCACAACACACACACACAGGCTCTACACAAGCACAACACACACGCACACAGGCTCTACACAAGAACAACACACACACACACACGCACACAGGCTCTACACAAGCACAACACACACACACACACTTTCTACACAAGCACAACACACACACACACAGGCTCTACACAAGCACAACACACACACACACAGGCTCTACACAAGCACAACACACACACACACAGGCTCTACACAAGCACAACACACACACACACGCTCTACACAAGCACAACACACACACGCACACAAATCAATCAATCTGTTGTTTAGAGCAAAACCATGTATTCTGACGCCTGAGGACCTCCTAATGAGATATTTACAAAACTAACTTCTCTGTTTAGTAAGTTAGTAAGTCATATTTATCTCTATAGTGCATTTTTACAGACCTGAGTTACAACATGCTCAATGATTGCTGTTTTTAAGGCATTTTCCCTCTCACTCCACACAGATATGAGCGTGGTCGCCAGTGCAGACCTATTGTTTTTAGTGGTAGGGGAAACCCGAGCACCCGGAGGAAACCTACACTTTTACTGTACCATTATTAACAACAGCAGTGGTGACAGCAGCTGTAGCAGTGGTCTTAGTCCAGTAGCGGAACTAACTTTAAATAAGGCAATTTTATTATTTTATGACTTTTTATTATCTGTTATATCTTGTTTGATGTGTGCAATCTGAGGGCCCTTACTTCCTCCTTTTATTCTGCTGTAATGTGCGTAACAATGACATTTAAAGTTCCCCACTTACTTTATCTTATCTTACAATACAGACACTAGCGTTAATGGTCAAACTGAATACTTAAAACAGATGTCAATTACCGGTACACATAATGATAACATTTATTTTTTTCCCGCGTCCTTCCGCTGAGCCAGCACTCATGCAATTTACACAATCCTTACAATAATCCTTTTTGTTCTATGGACACTTCCACCGGAGCAGAAAACAAACGGCACCGAAAGAAAACAAAGAGTAATCCTGCCGCAGAGACAGTAGAACGACAGCTGGAGTAACAGTTCGTTTAGGGCTCTCCCAGCTCCGTCAGGCCCACGTCTCTGCCTCATTACGGTCCGTTAAGTCGATGAGGCTGGATCGCAGGGACCAGAACGAGCTCACACACTGTTTTGTGGCGTAACAGGTGCGTCGTGTTGGAAAGTAATGCCACAAGTTCAGACTTTTAACAGACGGTATTACCATCTGCAGGGAGATAAGGGGAAGGTGTGGATGCCTCGGTTATTTTTACTACTATTTTACACCGCACACACAACAACAAGGCCACTACACCGCGACACACACACACACACACGACAACAAGGCCCCTACACCGCGACACATACACACAGACAAAAAGGAAATGGTTTAATTAAGAAGATTGATTGTATCTGTGGGAAAGTGGTTGTTCTTGTTTCTTTACAGGCTGTAACTAATGACTAATAATACAATGTCTGCGGGGATGGTGACGAGATTGAGGATGGATTGTAATGCTTTTCTATAAGGTCATTTATAATTGTTGTAGTTGTTGATGACATAGTTGTGTTACTGAGCAGGAAGCCAAAGTGAGTGTACTGTAAGTGTATGTAGATGGGGTTGAGTCTATAAGTCTTGCTTCTTCCCACTCCATTTCAGGTTTCTTTGGGGTGAAGAGGAAAATATATCTATGTAATTATGTATGTTCAAGGTCTGTAGTTGAAAAGTCAAACAACCGAATCTCCCTGAATCTGAGACTTTTGCACATGTATTCCAATGTGGTTTTACTGTAAATGGCAAATAAATCAATCTGAATCTATTTATTTTTATTTTTATCATTTTATTTGTATTATTATTTTTTATTATTAAATGACAAAAAATAACTATTTAAATATAGATTCATCATTGCTTTTATACATTGTTTAAACTTGCCCACTGCTGCTTGCACAGAGTGTCCCGCCGTTTTGTTTGGCTTCTGTATCTGCTTAACTTTGCACTTTTAATCTATATATGTGCGTTTAACTTGAACTGCGAGCCCTGCACATAACTCTATAATGGTCTACGGACTCCATGTTTGCGTTCACACAGAGAAAAAACTTCTAGAATCTTGAATTTCACTTCCTGTTGTTACTTTCATTCACAGATGTTGCCTTAAGTACACTCTAAGAAAGAGCCCTGTGAGCCACTATTTGACCCTTTGGGCTGAGTGAGTGTGGTCCTTTCTTTTTCCAGGTTTCTGTCTAAAAAAGAACCTCGAGTTGCCTTAAGTATGAACTATATATTGAAGTTTTTTTGTATAGCAGAGTTCAAGGTTTTGTGGCTTCAAAGTTTGGTAATGCCAGCTTTAGTAGGCAAAAAAACATACTTGATTCAAAGCAAGCATTTCATATTATCGACAATATGAACAAACACGACGACATTACCGATAAAAACAGTATTTACACGACGCTGCATGGAAAATGAAAGGCATCGGGACACGTTCATAACCGAATAAAGAGGCGTCCTACACAAACAATGGCAGCGGCCCCTTCTGCATTCCCCTCAAATCCCTCTGCACACGGTCACAAGAGCAGGCTCAGGGCACCTTTTCAAACAGCACAAGTCGGACCTGCCTCTCTGTCACTGCTTTACGCAACACACACACAGAAATCACACATAGACACACACACACACATATTTGATACGATAGCCTTTGGTAATGGGGCGATTGTTGCAGGACCACACTGAGAAGAACCAGAGACGACGGGTATCACACCACCTCCGCGTATAGTCCAGAAAGAGTAATTTTACTGATGGTTTTTCTTTATTGAAGCTTGCAAACAATTTCTAATGTCGGACATCACTACGCCAACGTCGAACTAAAATAAGCAACACAATTAAAAACACAATACACTAAAATAATGCATTAAACATACCACACACACACATACACAGACCTCGCTGGCCCATACTTTAGAGGCTCACTTTGCTTAATGCAGGCATGGCCAAACTAAGGCCCGTGGACCAAATGCGGCCCTCTTTGTCAGTTTATGTGGCCCTCTCCCTTGCTGAACTGAAAGTAGTCTTTGAGATTATAAACACCAGGTCACAGTGTCATCTAGCCAACTTCAGCTCTACCAATATAGACCTGTTTATACCTCGCTCAGATTCCAGTTGTTTACTTATAAGAATAGAAGGACACATTCAGACTTGACCGCGATTACAAAAAGAGATTTCTAACTTCCATACTTGATGTACAAAATGCAGATATCATTTCCCATAGTAAACCGTTTTAAAATCCAGGTTGTCAGTCCCTGGGCAAGTCTGGTGAAAAAAAGTGGCCTTTTACTAAAAAACAAAAAAAAACACCCCATGGCTTGGCTTGAACTTCAACCATAAGACTGTACCTTTGACATGTGTATCTCAATTAGTGTGTTGCGGAAACAGGTAACTAAATGATGGGTCCTACCTGAGGATTTTCAAAATAAATACAAATAAATCAAAAGTGTGGCAGTAAAAACAGTGAAAAAAGAGGTTTTCATGGACAAGGCCAAAACCATTCTGCAGTACGCACGCCACGGTCTCATTCAGAAACTGATAAAGAGCCGTGTTTGGTCTAATCTCGAGCCTCCGTGAGCGACCCGTGTGAGAAATCCTACTGATTCAATGTTTTCACTTTTCATGGACGCAAAGCCGACTGAAGCTGCGGCCGCTGGCGTCACAGTAATGAGGCATGTTTAGTAAACAACGGAATCGGACAGAGAAATGTATTCAGAGAAGCAGCGCAGAGGAGCCCAGTGCCAGGCGACATGACATACTGTACAAATATGCAAAACAAGATTTATGGAGGCCACGGAAACAAACAATCCCCACTCCTTGTCGAGATAAACAGAGGCTTCTACACATGTGAAAGTGCGTTTGAAGACGGAGTGTGTCGGCTACGGTCACCTCTGTTTCTATCTCTGCAGGGGCTGGCATCGAGAACAAGTTCATTTATTGTTAAAATAGTTGACAACTAATTTTAATGCATGCAAGGTTCCAAAAAACAATGTATCAATTACTAAATTATACATAAATGTCTATAATGACTGTAGAAAGAAATATAAATGTGTCTCAATGAAGCTGTTCTCCACCTCAGCTTGTTTTTATGGTTAAATATACAAAAATCTGCTTCTGCTTGTTCCTAGTGAGGCTTATTGTGAGGGGAGGGGCCGTTTTAAATACATTTATTAGGAAATATATTCGGAAAAATAAGGCAAGGTAAAAAAAAATAAGGTAAAAAATATGCGTTATTTTCTAGATTAGATACAAAAAGGAGCAAACACCACCTTTGGATACAGCCCTACATTGTATTGATATATTTTCTTCATAATTAACCTTTATGGAGGTGGTTTTAACTTGTTGTTTCATAAATAATTGAATGTCATAAATGCAATACTGGCGATAGAACTGACCTGTTTTGAGAGCAAGGAACTATAGCTACAAGGATTTTATCACATTGTTTTTGGGTGTAGATTCTAAAATATTTAGTTCACAAAATGCAATAATGTTTAGGTGGCCATCCATGTTTTTATCATAAATGTCAGTAGACTAGTTTTAGATTCATATATTTCTGGATAGATCACTAAAGAATGCAGTATTACAGTGTTGCCACAGTGTTGTTGACAAAAGCATTATACTGTATGTCTCACTTGGGGTTTTGGTGGTCTTCATAAAGTATTCATGTGTTGTGTTTGAGTGTTCGGTGGTGCTCTGCCCCTTTAAGGCCGCTCAGCTTGACAGTTGTAACTCAAGGTACTTCCCGACCACAAAGCACCACAGGGGCCCAGTCAGGGTTACTGTCCTCTCTGACACTAAAAGCAGCACTCTTACTCGAAATGCAGTGCACGCCCATACGCCGCTGCCTTCTGATGTGATGGAGCGAGAAGGATGGAGCAGGTGGTCTGCAAAATCCACCTGCGAAACAGAGAAGAGAGAAAACAGGTTATAAGAGTTGTGATTTGACTGAGAATAATAAGCAATCTGTCAAAAATGAACCGAAAAAGCTTGTTTCAGTATGACAATGCCTGGCAGTAAACCTAGTCATATAGAGGGGCATAGAGGCGTGTAGAGTTCTGAGCAATAAAATCATAAAAAAGTCAACAAATAGCCAGAAAAACTCACTGACCCAAGAATTTCAACAGCTCTGACGGACTTTGTGACCGCTTCTCCCGCACCCCTCACTTTGGGAATATGCAAAATGAGACTTTTGAAGGAGGTTTTGGTCTTGTCACATTTACAAAACGCCGACGTGAAAGCGGGGACTTTACCCTGTGTGTTAAACGACGAGTGGAACAACTGAGGAACACATCAAACCAGTCAGGTGGGCGACATTACAAAAACAAGAGCACCGGTGGAGAAAGATAAAGGGCATTGTCATAGCAGCAGATTTCAGCTGATACATGACATGGGAAGCATCTTGTTGTGAACGTACTACAGATATAATTGTACAAAAAATGATATCAATTAGATGTACATTATATTTGCAGCAATTTGTGAAAGCTTAATTTTCTGTTTATTGTAACTAAACCCTGTCCTCTGTATCAAATGATCCGCATTCAGTAAAAACCCTAAATATAAGCGTAACGATTAATCATATGTATAGATTTCTCCTTACAATACACACATTTTCGACATCTGTGAAAGAGAGATCGACATTATGGATTGGCACGAAGCAATTATCATACAGGCTGACGACAATAAACACAGACACTGGACCAAAGAGGCGATTTTAAAAAGAAAACGTAGCCCCAGGACTATGAACCGGGACGAGGGGGCTGTATTACTCTCACACACCTAGGATCCAGCCCTTAAGAAGTCGGATTTCCTCTGGTGGTACAAAGACAGTGCCAAAAACGGTGAAAAAAAGCTGACAAGACAAATACATAAGTTAAATCAACGAATCAGAACCCCAAAAGAACCTTGTTTGGACTAATACACAAAGTAATGCAAACAAAAACACACATACGCACATACTAACAATAATAAACTATGATTCAAAAACATAGACTTAAACATGGTGCTAGATCCTCCAAATCTATTTTACATGCTGTACCACTTTGTCATTATTAATTCTAAAGCAAACCTATATATTAACATTACATAGGGACAGAGCAGGGAACATGGGAGCCAAGAATAACCACTAATTAGACAATGAAATTAGACTGTACTTCATCTGTAATTGACTTTTCTTGCCTCAATCTCTTTTGTCTCTTGTACAAAGCAACGTCATCTCCCCAACATTCCTGAATCGGTATTAACCATAATATAATTGAGGTCATACACAAAGCATGTGGACTTCTTGACCTTATGAGGACGTCCGACATGAGCCTATTTATAAAAAACAATAAGCAGGCCGCGTAGAGATGCCCTGATGTGGCGTTTTTGTGTGTGTGTACATGTCAGGTGTATTTCCAGGCTGTGACACAGTCTAATGAGGAATGTGGGTGAGGTGGTGATGAGCATAACCCACTGGCACCGCGCCCGGCCCCTTCACGTGATCCACACACTATTTTGGCATTTGGGTCCAGTTCCACAGCGCTGCCGGCTACATCTATAGTCACATGGATTGCGGCGAGATGCTGTCAGATGTCTGAACCCACTTCCATTTAAGACAGACAGCTATTTTTACACTAAAAGGGCCGAACAGCATGTAGAATTGTGGCTAAAAATGCTAAAACATTATGTGAATGAACCGTTAATGGTGTCAATGAAAAAAAAAACACGCGTCCGAAATAATGTCGGTTGTGACTTTGAGGGTTTGGCTCTTGGACCTGATGAAGGTTTGGAGTTTTGGCTTCATCTCTCCTCTGGGTCCAGTGTTATCCCCAATGTCTAAAGGGGGCCCTCTGTGGCAAAAGGGGGCTCTCTGCTCCTGGTGCAGATTGCTCCTCGGATGGTGCTTCCTCTGCTGGATTAAGTGGTACTCAGCCGTGTGTGTGTGTGTTTGTGAGTGATTGTTTTAAACCAAAATTGTAAAGCACTTTCCGTTGCATTATTTGTATGAAAACTGTTTTATTTTGCTTAAGTAAAATTGTTTTGATTGTCTGATTGATTGACAAAACTGATGCAAGTAAAAACTAGGTATAGAACTGAACTGTTTTGACAGCGAGGAACTTTTTAGGCCTACAAATATTTGATTAAACTCACCTTCACCAGAGTTAGTTCAGTGCTAGCGATGTTAGCCTCATCGCTCGACCTGCTTCACACTATAGTTTAACTCAAAGGCCAAATTGTCTGTGTTACAAAATCAAAACGAGCACACCCCTTTAAAAGCCCACCAACCCCGCTTGCAGTTTTTAGCTTGCCAGTTGTTTTCCTCCTTAAATTCTAACTTAGCATATCTTAAAAGTCCATTTCAATATCATAGTGTCAAGTAGACGATATATCTTCTCCCTGCAGCAGATATACTCAGGTATGCACCCGAGCTCGCGTGACATTTCCCAAAGACACAGCGGCTCGTTCTGGACCGCGGCTTCTCTGATGTGGATAAAAGCAGGTCACCGTGATGATAACAAATGCGCTCGGAGGGAAAGTCTCAGCCACAATAGGTCAGACAGAGCAGTGCTTGGCCGTGCTCCACACATCGGCCTGCTTTCTTCAGACTTGGAGGCAAAATGTCCTTCAGAGACGACCTGCTTCTCCGGTGATTAATCCAACTGGCACCGTCGCCTGCGAAAAGTCTCCGCAGGCACGAGAAGGGAACGGACAGGCCTTCGGGGGATAGGCGTATGGAATCTTTCTCATCTTTCTATAGGAATTCGACTTGGCATTTGAATATATTTTCTAAATTAGGGGTAAGGAAAATATTTCTCTTTCTTTGGGTTGAAGACAGATGACCCACCTGTCCCCACATAATGTTCTAAATCAAGTATTTCTTTTACCAACGCGGGGTTTCTCCTAATTACAAAAACATACAACATGAATGCTAAGTTGTTTATGTTGTAATTTGACATTTTGCTTCATTACAGACTAAGAAAGCAGCCTCACATGAGCCTCTAATTAGGGTTGCCAGATCTAATCCATCAAATAGGAAAGAGATTTAAATTTTGCGACTTCAACGGCCAAGTTCCATGAAAATAGACCATTTTACCCATATTGAGGAACATTCTGCCTCTGGAATAAAACAGCTGTGGAAGACTATGGTTTTATTTCTTTCAATGCAAAAAAAACACAATGAAAAAACCTTGCTGTGATTTAAGTCCATATGAAATTCTACCAAAGCTGCATTTGGAGACACTTTGCGGGAAAGGTATAGTAACTTAAGCACTATCCTCTCTCTTTCTTAATCTGGCATCATCATGACTTTGAATGTAGTCTGTTTATTGCTATTCACCTGCTGTTCCATTATCTGTTTCATGTTGTGATAATGGGACCCCTGAATCCAGCCTTTTGTATCTGGACTCGTGGGCTGCACCCAAACGTCCCAGGCCTGGGAGCTTTCTCAGTCCTGCACTGCACAACCTCAGTCCTCGTTCTACAGCCTGACTCCTCGATCTTCAGCCTGGCCATCAGTGAGAGCGGATCCCTCCCTCAATATATGGGCCTCCCTGGAGTCACTCGCTTTTTTCTCCAAGTGTGTTATTTTTGCTCCTGGAGGGTCTGCAGGAGGGTCTAAGGGCCGTGATGATCCAGGACATTTAAGCAGATATTATCAACATTCATGGACACATAGGGGTCTTCCTGCTCCCTATGTGTTTGAATTGTTCCGTCTTTCCGATCTGCTATTGGTGAATCAACAACTTTGTGTAGTCCTCCTAGACGACTGCAGTTAGGATTGAGGACTAAACAAAGATTCACTGAATTGAAATTAGGTTTGGACACTTTAAAATGGATCCAATATCTGAAACTTCCATAAAACATTTTCTAATCAGTTCAGCTCACTTTTGTCAAACGCAAATGAGTAAAGATGACACAAGATTTCCTGACAAGTTATGCAAAGCTCCTATTCACAGTCATATCCAATTCACCCACCCCATCATTCAGAGTGACCGCTGCTCTGGACCTATTTCATTTCCAACATCTTGGGCCGCTGCCACCATCATGACTGGTTTCTGAGTACCAGCGTTCCGCGAAGTACTCTTTCCTCTTCCGCTATTTAAATCCCTGTTGAGGAGTCATGGTATGGGATCTGCCTGTGACTAGCTGACGGAGCGAGCAGCGTCAGCCCTTTGAGCTCCAGCTGCTCCATATCCGCGCTGTAACGTGACGCCAGAAGAATGCAAGGCCCACCGCGGCTCTCGGCTCCCCATCAGAGACAAGTCTTTCAACAACAACAAGCTCATTACCTCAAACCTCTTGACCAGGCCGACACCTTTAGGGGCGAGAGGAGAAAGACACGACTGAGGAGAGAGAGATCTGCCCTGGTGCGGACGGATTAGGTTAGGGGTGAGGGGTGAGGGGTGAGGGGTTTGACAAAGATAGTTAGGCAAAGTGGATCATACAGGCTTCAACTAATGTGTTATGATACTGAATACAGACTCAGGGCGGCACGGTGGCTGAGAAGATAGCACTCTCACCTCTCAGCAAGAAGGTCCTGGGTTCGATTCCTGGTCAGAACAGGGTCTTTCTGAGTGGAGTTTGCATGTTCTCCCTGTGCCTGCATAGGTTTCCTGCGGGTACTCCGGTTTCCCCTACCACTAAAAACATGCTCACTAGGTTAAATCCTCCAGCTCTGGTCCTGACCAAGCCGAGCATCAACATCTGGAGATGGGTTCCCCGGGCGCTGTTACTACGGCGACCACTGCTCCTGACGGAAGCCTTTGCGGCATCAGGATGGGTCAAATGCAGAGGATTGACTTGGTCTAATTTTGATATCTATAGTTAAATCATGCTACGTACTCTGAATTCCAAAGAGACACTCAGATTAATATTGTAACGAGAATCGAAATGACATTGAACTTTTTGATTCTCCGATC